GAAAATGGCATATACTCCAGTATTTTTTTTTCTGGGGAGGACCCAGCCACATTTATTTAGCTTCCGATGCCCATATATATATATGGTTAGAACTAACCATGAAAATGTCTAAAAATGAAAATGTATTGATGCATATTTGTCATTTTAACAGAACTTAGGGCATTGTTGATCATTCAGTGTAAAAAAAGGTCTGATGAGCTGCTGGTAATGAATATTAATCACATTGTCTGCATTTGCTTGAGATGATTTGCTGAAATCAAAACAGTGACGGGGTAATAGGTGAGTGCCAGCCAATGAGATTGCTGGTTGCGCATTAGTTCCGCCCACTACAGAAGAAACCGGCAGTGGCTTCTGCATGTTTTAAAACCGCTGAATAATTCCAAATGAGCACTGGAAAATACAACAAAAAACATAATTTACATGTAGTGCGTCAGTTCTACGTGGTACAGTAGGTAAGACTCTCTCTCTCTCTCTCTCTCTCTCTCTCTCTCTCTCTCTTTGTGTGCGTGAGAGAAACACAGAGCGCTCTCAGATAAGCAATGGCGAGTCGGGGTCAAATACGCTGCACATCCATTGAGATGAACTGGAATAATGCTCTTTAAAGACAGAGAGTGAAACTCTCAAGTACTCGGAGTGTTCAAGACGAGTAAAAAAAAAAATCGTACTCTTTAACTCAAACACTGGAGGGTAAAATCTAACTATTTATTAGCCAATGGCTATTGATAGACATTATTTAATCGATTAGCATGAACATTTAGTTGCATATGCGAGTGATTTACTCGCATTGTAGAGGGTTGATGAAACGGCATCTCATCCATTTAAAATATAATTATATACACATCTTAATTTCAGCTAGGCATGGAAAAATATGGTCAAATGAACAAGTATCATTTGATTTGATTGGAAGGTAAATTTGGAAATCATTGGCATGACAAAAATATGTAATGTTATATTTTAGAAATATAGAACTCAGAGCAAGCACAGTGAAGGGAAATTAGAGAGGGCCTAGAATGGATCCTTGTGGAACACCACCAGAAATGGGTGCAGGTGATGAAGAGACTAAATGTTCATGAAAAAACACCTACCCTTTCAATAGGAAGCAAAACACTGTAATGCAGAAGGCCCTGTGTGCCAAAGTACACACTTAAGGCATTTTAACAGAATATCATGACAATATTAAAATAGACAAACCATGAAGGACATTTGTGACCTTCAGCAAAGCTTAAAACACGAAAAACCTAATTTAAATGTATCTGACAAAATAACCTTCTCTATAAATCTTTGAG